ACCTAAACCCTGCACTAGTGACATGTCACTGAATAGGATAATAAGGTTTAAACATTAGCTTCATTCGAAATGTTACTCCAAATGTTCACTTTCCTTTTATCTTTGTTTTGTATTGATAATGCAGGAAGAGCCCAATTCAGTGATTCGAACAAATGAGGGTTGGAATAACTTACCACCATTTTGCAGAGGTAAGTCCTGAAATCTGTTCAAGAATTGGGGGGAGAGCTCGCTCGATATTGGCCATTGAATCTGTTGCCTCAAAGCAAGAAAACACGACGGTGTTCTGAAGGGAGTTGGGGTGTGCCACATTGACAACTTGAAAGTCCATCTTGAATGAGTCCCCTCCTTTGTCCCCTCCTATCTTAATCCAAACTTCGTCCTTGGGGATTATGCCATTGTGCCATGTGAGGGTTCCCTGACTGCAGAAAAAGATGGATGAAGATAATTTTAGGAAAAATATAATTTTGAAATGAAAATTATGTACTTTGTGTACACACTTCCACTGATCTCCTGCAACTAAGAAAAATTACCGTTCAAAGCGGTCCAAGTAGTCCAATATCATAGCAGGCACATCTTTGACAAAGACAAATGGCACCTCTCTGATTTCATAGCCATTCATTCCATCAGCTTTGTCACTGTTAAAAAGCAGCTTGATCTTCTGGCCTATCAGGTTGTCTTTCAGCAACTGTTTCTGTTGTTTCCTGATGGCTCGCTCTGAGGGAATCATGCTCCTGCTATTTAGATACCTGGCAACATTAGAAAGTAGTAAAAACTATGTAGTTAAAAACTGCTTCATAGTTCATGTGGGTACAAAGGATCGTTGACAGTTTAAGCAACTTTGTGCATAATGTTTATATTGTGTTTATGAAATGCACAAGTGTTTTAGTTTATCTTGGGGAGGGGATATCAAAGACTCAGTATTTGAAATCAGATAAATGTGCCAGGCAAATGAAGCTCACAGTCTCAAGGATTCTTATAATTTTGTTGTGAATGATGTAGGTACCTTCGAAGTTTCCTGAGTTGATCCCATGCCAAATGGCAGTCCCGCATCATCGCCATGGATCTCTCTACAGTCAGAGGAGTGTCTGGGGATGTTGGACTCGACAAGGAGTTGCTACGTTTCCTCTTACTACATGGTGGTCCATCGAGCTTGGAAGACTTTACAGTCCGCTTGATATATGCTGGCTGAAAAAAACAAGAAAAAAAAATGTCGCACTGTTTTCGAACTTTGAATACTTAGTATGCAGTGCACATTTCCTGTAGCTTAATGTTTAAAAGTACCACAAAACACTGTGTTGTTAAAAATCCAGTAATTGGTCAGCTTACTGAAACTCAAGTATAATAAGTCAGTTTGCCTTGAACCAATGAAAATGGTGTACCTGACAAAGTGAATTAAAAAAATAGGTTGATGTTTTTAATAATAATAAATGATGATGAAAAAAGGCTTTAAGTCATTTCTTTGAGTGTGTATTTGGTGTTTGCATATACATGTATAGGCCTAGTATTTTCAGTTATCTTACTTGACAAAACTCACTTTAATATGGACCTCCGGCAAATAAAAATGAAAATTCAGAAGTCTATGCTTACCCGACCTCCTGTTTTGAGAGAAGAAATACATCCATCACGGTTTAATTTAAACCATGTCCATCGGTCTGCGACCTCTTCTACCTCAAGTGGTATTGGTGTTCCAGGTTGATGGCATGCTGCAAGATCTTTAAGGACTTGAACTGCATTTGTTACCTCATTTACAGCTGATGATTCGGCATGGAGGGGAAGAGAATATTGTGCCTTGACAATTGTTACTTTAGGGGTTGGGGGTTTAATTGGGGAGCACGAATGCTGAACTTGCTGCTCCAATCTCCCTATACTGTTGCATTTACAGCAAACAACTATTAAATTGTCAAGTTGAACTGTTAACACTCGTGGACTCTTGGTGATTTCATTGTAACTTATTATTGAACTGCACACTGGACATTTTATGCTATCACTTCGTGAGTGCTGGAAGCAAGCTGTAAGACATACAGCACAAAAGTTGTGTTCGCAAGTTGTCTGCACAGCAGGTCTGCTTAAGATACATTGGCACACACAGCAGATGAAAATACTTTCCTCCCCTTTGTGACTGATGATGTCCAAATCGACCGATACTGCACATGCCGTTGTTCCCAAATGTTCAAAAATTTTGCTGCGTGTCGTGTCGAAGGAGCAAGTTGTGTAAACCGCAGGTTTTTGTGTTGCAGATAATTTTCTCTTGTGAGAACCTCCCCCCTTGGCCTGCTGTTTCACTGTATCACACACAAAACAAGAGCCTGTCCTTGAGTGCTTTGGCCAGTCAAACTGAATTTTCTGATGCTGGGCCAATTTATCCGGATCAATATCTCTCGTGCCTGCAGTAAAATGTCTTACTTGTCTGGAGCACTTCTCACAGAGAGCTGGAGGGTGCTGATCCGGTGTATCATCCCATGTGCTCACTCTAAACACGCTGTAAATCTCCTTCGTAAGATTGCTGCAAAGTACTGGTTTTCGTGTCGTTTTTTGTACTCCTGGATGAATTCTATTTGTACAAATTCTACAAATGTTCCCTAATGAAGTTTGATGGAATTTAAAACTCATTTTATCTAATAAAGGACTGAAATAAATTTTGAATCGAACATAATTCAGACTGTGTTGCACATGTACATGTACATCACACAGTCGGTGAAGTTGTAAATAAACAAGTTTGTATAGCGCGCCTTAATGCGCTGGTTCCCGCACGTTATTATAAACGTGTACTAAAACTATGGCATGACGCGCACCAACGAAAACTTCGCGAAATCTCGACGATTGCCGCGTCACTTTCGTGCATTTTTTTCTTTAAGTATTTTTTGTCAACTACCTGTCCCAGACACAAGAATTAAAAAATTCATTGTCAAAAGAATTTAACTACAGTTGCCATTTATCAGTTGTTGTATAACCACTGTATCTTCGTTGTTGTAGGAGAAAATTTCAGTTCATTTTTCGTGCAGACGTACGATGAAATTAGCACCTCAAAAAACACTAAAACTTAAATGTTAAATCGGGGACCTCGATTTTATTGAAGGTTTCTTAAAGGTTTTAAACATATATGTCTTATTTTTTCATAAATAAATACATGTACAGTGAAGAACGTGTTTAAATCTTTGTTTCTTTGTCACGAAAACTACGACACTCTCGCTCGTGGAGAGCGCCATGTTTTCGCGTGACGTCACAATAATTACTGGAGTGAAGATGTTCCAAGCGTACGCGCAGCGTATACTTTATTAATACACGCGCTACGCATATGAAACAGCCGTGTGGAGGCTGTGATGGGAGATCTGAACTTTAGTGCACTTCTTCTGTGCCTCGATGATATCTTGGTGTTCTCCAAAACCTACAAGGAGCATCTTCAGAGGCTTGAGGTTGTATTCCAATGGCTGCGTCAACATGGCCTAAAGATCAAGCCAAGTAAATGTCACCTGCTGCAGAAGGAGTGCCAATACCTTGGCCATATTGTATCGGCCGAAGGAGTTGCGACTGATCCGTCCAAAACTGAAGCAATTTCGCGAATACCTACTTGGGGCAGAATTTATCGTCTACACTGACAATAATCCTCTCTCCTACTTGAAGTCAGCAAAGCTCGGTGCAACTGAAATGAGATGGGCTAGTCAACTAGCACAGTTCGATTTCCAGATAAAGTATCGATCAGGAAAATCTAACGCAAATGCAGATGCGCTCAGCCGGCAGAAAAGTCGTACAGAAGACACCCTCCAGCTCGTGACCCAGTCCACTGCAATGCATGATGTCCAACCCGGGACGGCAACCAGTGGAGTGACTGTACGCATGACCATGGCTACTGCGGCTCCATCTGCTACCTCAACCATACCAGGGTATTCTCATGAAGATCTAGCACGGCTACAACAGAGTGATCCATTGATATCACGGTTCTACACATTGTGGAGACGAGGAGGTAAACCTGGGAGTCGGCAGCTGAAGCATGAATATAGTCCCCTGAGAGCTCTTATCAAGAGATGGGATGGAATCGAAGTCCGTGGCGAAGTCTTGTACGTTCAGTTTCACGACCCAGTCGAGGGCAACAGTTATCAGTTGCTTGTCCCTGCTGAACTCCAGCCGATGGTGATGGATACACTCCACAATCAGGCAGGTCATCAAGGATGAGAGCGCACTCTTGCGCTCACCAGGAAGAGGTGTTTCTGGCCGGAAATGGCCACAGCCGTAGAGAAGTGGTGTCAGAAATGCGAGAGGTGCACCGTGTCCAAAGCACCAACCCCTGCAGTTAGGCCATCCATGGGAAGGTTACTGGCTGAGCGCCCACTCGACATCTTGGCAATCAATTTCAATCAATAGAGGGCGCTGTTTTGCTGCTGCCATGTCTGCTAAACTATACTCGTCTGATTTTTATATTTTTGTGTTTTTGTCGCTGTTCTTGCCGTTTTATCTTTCCTTTAACTGTTTTGCTGGATGAGCTAGCGGCCATACATATTCTGGAGCAGCAAATTGATCTTCAAAAACGATTTTAATGAGGTAAAACTGCCACATCTTGCTGTCGATAACAAGCCTCTTTTACTATACTGAAGATAAAGGTGGTATTTCCGACACTTGCGTTCTATGATATAACTATGTGCATTTTTATCGGGGAGGCAGTTTGTAGTAACGGCTCTGCTGGAAGACTTCGTTATGACAGAACATGTATGCTTCGCCTCAAACCTACCTCATCCACCCTGAGGAGATTGCCTAGTCATTCTCTTGAGATTCTTCAAAACCTTGGGCTCCTTAAGCCAAGGCGTGGCCGCCGTGGGGGCTGCCACATTCGTCGACAGATCCCAGTTGTTTGCTCTGCAGGCAGGGAATATGTCTTGCATGCCAATTCCAACCGGTCAGAGCATAACCTTGTTAAGCTTCGAGCCTCACCAAACCCACAAAAGACTCTAGAGCAACCCTTGTTACCTCGCATGCTCCTTACTAATGCACGATCACTTAACAACAAGATGGAGGAACTTGAACTGGTTCTGCACTCCAACAAAGTGGACATTGCAATTGCAACAGAGACATGGTTCACCGATGCAACTACCCAGGTAGCTAACATTCCTACATTTACTACCATCAGTAAATCTCGTCCGAACAAGCGAGGAGGTGGTGTTGCTATTTTTGCCAAGGATCATCTATCTGTGCATACATTGTCCGACCATGTTTGCGAGTTAGAATGTATGTGGCTGAAACTCGACGTGAAAAAGGCTAGATGCTCGGTGGCAAGTTTGTACATAGGTGTCATCTACTATCCACCTAACTCAACATCTGAATGCAAGATTCTGGATCACATATGCAACACTGTAGATCACATTCGTGCGTCAGACATGTCAGCAATAATCACCCTCTTCGGTGACTTCAATGGCTTGAAATGTGACCCTATCGAGGCTAACTTGAGTATGACACAACTGATTTCATTCCCTACTCGTGGTAATGCTACCCTGGACAAGATTTTCACCAATTTTCCTGTCCTGTTCAAGGAACCTGAGAGACTCCCACCTCTGGGAGCTAGTGATCATTGCTGTGTCCTCCTCTCGGCGGTCTGTGAACTCCCTCAACAAAAGAAGGGCGCAACAAGCTTTCGACCCTACAGAGATTCTTCGGTGCGTTCGTTTGGGCAGTGGATAGTCGACTACGACTGGAGCAGTGCACTCACTGACTCATGTACTGACTCAGTGGGAAACTTCTTGACTACAGTTACAGATGCCTACAATTTCCATTTTCCACTGGTAACCTCTACACTGCAGAACAATGACAAACCTTGGATGACACATCGCTTGAAGCAGTTAGTTAAACAACGACAACACGCCTTCAGAAGTGGCAACATGGACAAATGGCGTTCACTTCGTAGCAAGATACGGCGGGAAATTAGGACTGCCAAGTGTGAGTTCTACAAGCACACTGTCCAACATCTGAAGTGTAGCCAGCCTGGCAAATGGCACAGACAAATTCAAAAACTTTGCCAGATTAAATCCAAATGTACCATGATCCCTGGTGCTGATGTCGACCCAGAAACTACATCTGAAACAATCAATGGCCACTTCGCTGATATATGCAATCAGTTGCCTGCCCTTGATCTCCAAGGGTTACCTTCATATCTACCAGCCAAGTCACCACCCCCTCTTATATACAGGGGGCAAGTGCTTAAGACCCTCAAGAGACTGAAGCCAATCAAAGCTGGCCATCCCTCCGATTTGCCAGTACGGCTGATCAGTGAGTTTGCTTATGAATTGGCTGACCCTCTCACCGACTTGTTTGTACAATGCCTGCCTACTTGAAGGAAAATTTCCCTCCGTTTGGAAGACAGCAACTATTGTGCCCATTCCTAAGGAGAGGAATATATCAAGCCTCGACCAGCTTCGGCCAATCTCCCTCACACCGATTTTCGCAAGAGTGTTTGAAACCTTTCTTGCAAAGTGGATCCTCGAAGACATTTCTTCAAAGCTGGATGTCAATCAGTATGGCAACGTCAAAGGCAGCTCCACTGTGCTCTATCTCGTGGACATGCTTAACTTTGTGCATGAGGGACTTGATAGAACTGGTCATTTTGCTAACCTTTGTGCCATAGATTTTACGAAGGCTTTTGATCGGGTGAACCATAATATTGTTATTCGAAAGCTCATTCAACTTGGAGTTAGATATTCTATTGTTCCCACTGTCTGCAGTTTTCTCACTGAGCGTACCCATAATACTAAGCTCTGCGGTCATTTGTCAAAGACTCAGAGTATTTCTTGTGGGGTTCCTCAAGGCACCAAATTGGGTCCAATTCTGTTTCTGATTTTGGTTAATGATGCATCAGCTGAAAACTGCAGACATTGGAAATATGTTGATGATTTAACTATAGGTGAAGTAGTGAAGCATGGCCAACCATCTCACATGCAAAGCTATCTTGATGACTTGTCAAGTTGGTGTTATGACAACAGTGTACTTCCAAAGCCATCTAAATGTCAGACCATGACAGTAAGTTTTTTGAAGCGTGACACACCTAGGTCCTCATTTAAACTTGATGACATGGCATTGAATTATGTGACCTCTATGAAGTTACTCGGTGTTACTGTACAAAACAACCTGAAATGGGACATCCATACCACAGATATTGTCTCTAAGGCATCCTGTAGGTTGTACACTCTGTGTATTCTTAAGAAGGCTAATATACCCACCTCTCACATGGTTGCTGTGTACACTGGCTACATAAGGCCCATTTTAGAGTATGCTAGTCAGGTTTGGCACAGCTCTATTAGTGTCCGCCAAAGTGATGCCATTGAAAGCATACAGAAACGTGCAGTACGTATCATTCTTGGCCATGGCTATGACTCCTACACCGCAGTACTCAGCGTGCTTAGTTTGCCTACTCTTAAATCTAGGAGGGAGGATCTGCTGCTTAAGTTTGGTAACAAACTTCTTAACTCTAATAGATTTAGAAACATGCTGCCACCACTTAGGGAAAATGTGTGTAGCAGAGAGCTTAGATCATCCACCATCACTGGCATGCAGGTCCCTAAGTGTAGGTCTGTTAGATACAACAAGTCCACCATTCCATCATTAGTTAGCATATTAAATAGTATCAACTAGTGATTTATCTTGGGTATGTAGTACATGTACACATGTAGTTTAAAATATTTCCAGTGATTTATATTATGGTTTTTGCCCTGCCTGCGAATATGTATGGGGGGAGCTGCTCTGGGTTTGTTATTTGGCTTGCCGCTGTAGTCGGGTTTTTTTGTGTGCTTTTGTTGGGTTATTGGGGTGCTTGTTTGTTTGTTGCTTGCTTGTTTGTATTTTATCAATTTCTCTTTTTAAACTACTTGTTTCTATATGGATCGTAAATGTAAACTTTGGTGTGTGTGAATAATTGTATGCCTTGTATATCATGTCTGTTTGTTTGGTTCTCTCTTTTTAATCTAATAGTAACTGTAAGGACTTTTATGTAATGTAAAATGTGATGTGTGTAATGTTTCTACATGTAATGCATGTCTGGTTGTTGTTGTTTAGTTGTTTGTTGGGTGTGTTTGCTCGTTTGATGTTGGGGTTTTTTTTGGGGGGGGGGTAAGGATTGTGTTTGTGTTGGTAATCTAAATGGCTTGTGTGAAACTTTTTATGGAATGTAAATTTTCACCTTTGGTGTGTGAAATTTATGCTTTGTATCATGTCTGTTAGTTAGTTTCTCCCTTTCAAATTTTACTGTAACTCTAACGATATGAATTTTCAGCCTGATTTTGTAAATATTGTAATTGTCAGCATTTATGCTGTTGTGTACAATATATTTTGCTTTTTAGGAATAAACCAGAATAAATAAAAAAAAATAAAAAAATTTCACCATTCTGGAAAAAGCGACTGACGGAAGAGAGAATGTGTTGGTCATGACCGACGTTTTCAGTAAATTCTCGCAGGCTGTTCCGTGTCGAGATCAGAAGGCGTCGACCGTGGCCAAGGTCCTTGTTGAAGAGTGGTTTCAAAAATTTGGGGTTCCCCGCCGTATCCACAGCGACCAAGGGCGAAATTTTGAATCACAACTTGTCAAGGATCTGTGTGGTGTCTACGGCATCCAAAAGAGTAGGACCACGGCGTATCATCCGCAGGGGAACGGTCAGTGTGAGCGGTTCAACCGCACGCTCCATGACCGTCTCCGCACACTGCCACCCGGGCAAAAACGCAGATGGCCCCAACACATTCGAGCTCGTGTTCATGTACAATTGCACCCCGCACTCATCTACCGACTTGTCCCCCTTACTTGTCTTCATGGGGCAAGAACCCACACTCCCGATTGATCTTCTTCTAAACCCAGCTGCAGATGCCGGCAAACCACTAGGTTGTGATTCATGGGTGGAAAAACACCAGCAGAGACTGCAAGCTGCTGCAGAGGTTGCCAGAAAGAGACAGATGGAGAGGAGTGAGGCAGTGTAAGGTGTAAGCGTAATGAGGAGAGAGTCAACGATAAGGGCACCGCAGTGGAAACCCGGGTACTGCTGAGGAATTGTATTCCAGGGAGGAGCAAGATAGGTGACCACTGGCAGGCAACACCCTATAAGGTTACAGCACGACCACATGACAACGTGTACGAAGTACAACTGGCTGATGGCACAGGCCCAAGGAAGCGAGTGACAAGGACAGAGGTATTAGATACGGGAGAGTTTGTTCCAGAGGGCGACTCTACATCAGAGGTCTCAGACAATGAGCTCCTAGGTGAGGTTCCAGATCCAGAAGATGGAGTCACTCATGATCAGAATTCAGACGCTAGCGAGGACGAACCGATGCCTGTCGAACATCAAGACCATGACACTGAAGTAGCCACTGGCCAGAGAGGAGACCACAAAGATGGAGGAGAAACAACCAACAGGAGTCAGGTTGCTGACGAAGAGGAATCTTCATCACTGCTGGATGTAATGGTCTTAGTGAAGGAGGCGGATACCCAGCCGACAACAGCCCCATCCCAGAGTTCCAGTGAACCAGGTGAACCCATGGCGGATGGTGAAACGATGGCGGATGATCCCCAGGCTTCTGATGAAGCAGTGGAGACCCCAGGTACTACTGCCCTGAAGAGTCCCCCAGGTACTACTGCCCTGAGTCCCCCACAGGAAACCACCATGCCAGCAGAGCTGTCAGAACCACATAGCTTCAACGAAGCAGTGGAGACTGAGAGCCCTTCAGTGTCCCAGTCTCCCTCAGATAACCGTGAGCCGGTGGGACCGAGTACCAGTACCTTACCAGCGATGATAGCCGAGCCCAATCACCCGGACGAAGCAGTGGAGACTGAGAGCCCTTCAGTTTCCCAGTCTCCACCAGACAGCATTGACACAGCGGAACCGAGAAGATCCACCCGTACAACAGCAGGCCAACACTACAAAAGGCATCATCTACCAGAGTCAGCAATCCGTGTCACCAGCAACCACACGGAAACTCAAGTAACATCTGTTCAGCCGGACTTCGCGCAGTTCAGCCAAGCCCTTGCTGGTTTGGGAGAAATGCTTGTCGAACGTCTGGGAGGAAGGCTGCAAGCGGGTTGGTCTACAGTGTACCCACAACGCTACGATGGCCACATCAAAGAACTGTAGATAGACGACTTTGGCGCTTGGTGTTTTGAGACTACATCCAAAGCATTTAGTGATGCGAATAGACCAAAAGATAATAGACAAAAAGTCTTCTTTCTTTTTTGAATTCAGTTGTTTGGAAATTGCCGACTTGGTTAGCCTACACTTGTAGTTGGTGTGGGACCCAACGCGCAAGCAGTGGAGAATTGTGACAGGATTTTTTTTATGTTTTTACTATCTGGCTATTTCTTTTATGTTTAAAGCAGTTTCTTAATCGAAGCCTTTTCGAGTCAAGAGTTCATGGGTACCCCCCAAGAATCGTGTGCCAGCCATAGAGACATACGTTCAAGTTATAAATTCCCAAGTCACTAACCCGGACAACTTCCCCCACAGGACTCATGATAATCTCCCCAGAGAGGAGCGCCTGGCTCTCAACTCCTTGCGCTCTCGCACCGACATCATCATCAAGCCAGCAGATAAAGGTTCAGCTGTGGTCATCATGGATCGTCAGCAGTACATTGATGAGGCCCACCGTCAGTTGGATAATCGCACTAACTATACCCGCCTTGACTCTGACCCCACAGGCACTTTCTGTCGAGATATACAACAGGTACTTGACGATATGCGATCACGTGACCAGTTGTCCAAGAAAGCTCACAAATTTCTTTCTCCCTCTGATTGTAGGACTGCCAGATTTTACCTTCTACCCAAGATTCACAAGGCTGGCAACCCCGGTAGACCCATCATCTCCGGTAATGGCTCACCCACGGAACGCATCTCCCTGTTCATTGACAGTTTTCTCAAACCCCTTGTCCCACAGATTTCGTCATACATTCACGACACCCCAGACTTCCTACGCAAGCTTGAAGGAATCAAGGACCAGATTCCCAGCACGGCCATCATTGGGACTTTCGACGTCTCATCTCTGTACACCAACATCCCCCATGAGGAGGGTGTTCGTGCTTGCTCCTTGGCTCTGGCCAAGGCAGGACACACGGCTCCTCCCATCAGTGATGTTGGCACCCTCATGAGACTTATACTAACGAAAAACAATTTTTCATTCCTTGGTGAACACTATCTACAGGTACACGGCACTGCAATGGGCACTCGCATGGCCCCATCCATGGCTTGCCTCTTCATGGGTGACCTCGAAGAACGCATTCTTGCCTCGGCCCCATGTCGCCCTTTAATCTGGTGGAGATATATTGATGATGTTTTTTTCATCTGGACCAGCGATAAGGACAGTCTCT